GCCTCCCAAGGTGCTGGGATTACAGGCATGAGCCACCATGCCTGGCCGTTTTTTTTTTTTTTTTTTTTTTTTTTCCAGTTGTAGAAGAGACCAACTTAAGGGAACTCCATAGTAAATCAATTTGGAAAATGAAGAATCATGAGATATGATTAATTACTCCTGAAATTTCTTTCCTTCCTTCTTTCCATGATTTGAGCTTTTTAAAGACCTGCTTTTCTCACAATGAGATGCATAAACACAGAATGTTATATTCTGCAGGTGCTTAATAAAGCGTGCATTGAGTATACTAGACAATGGCTTATAGTGTGTGCAGCCCATGCCTCTTGTCACAGGTCCTCAGCCTCTAGCACTATCCTCCCCAGCAGTCCCAGGTTCTAGCAATGGGCAGCCACTCGCCATAACTGACTGGATGGGCTATGGGTGAGTCTTGACTCTCTAGGCCTTCTTGGCCTCATCTGTAAAATAAAGAATGAGACTGCATCAACACTGGGTCGTTTTCCAGGTTCCTGCAACTCTGAAATGGTGTATATTTGAATCCTCCAACATTATAAGGTCAGTCTGGCTCAATGTGGAGCCCTGGGGATGGGATAAATGTCTTCAGCAGGAAGAGTAAGAGAAGAGCTATGAGTGGGCACAGGAGCACGGAGAAGACACGGCTCAGACTCTGCCCAGACCTTCCTGTCTCCTCCCAGGAGGGAGGGAGCCTGAGCCTCAGGCATGGGAATACCCAGGCTCTGGTCCCCAAACACCAAAGCAATGTAGGAGGGCAGAAGAACAAGTTTTAGGCTTGGGACTCGAGTCTGAAAACTGGGAGGGTGGAGGGGAGAGGAGGAAAGTAGGCCATGAAAAGAAAATTCAGGAGTAAAAGAAACAGACTAAAATAGAAAGGGGGAAAGAGAGAGACATAGAGACAGAGGCAAGCTGAAGAAACACAGAGACGGAGACAGCAGAGAGAAGAATGCACAGCCACTGGGGAAGCAGAAGGGAGGACATCAAGTCCAATTAAGCTGGAATGGAGCCCAGCGTACCCCTTTCTAGGGAGGGCCACAGCAGGAGGCTAACAGCATCTTTGAACGAGCGAGAGGAGAGGGAGGATATGCTGAGGAGGACAAGGACTGATGTGTGAGCCCTAGCCTGGGACAGGGTGGAGGCTAAAGATCCAAAAGAGGACACCCCTGTCCCCCAAACTGATTTCTTATAGCAAAGCTGCTCCAGGCATGGTCCAGGAGGCCCACCCTCCATGCCTGGGAGCAGGCACGAGAGAGTCCAGACTCTGCTTCTTTGTCTCTCTCCCAGCCAGCCCCAGTCCTGGAATGCAGCAGGTCCTGCTTAAAGAGTGTTTGAAAAAGAGAATCCTATTTCTGTGAGTGTAAGCTCCAGAAGAGCAGAATTTCCTTTTTCTATTTTATTCACTGTTGTTCCTCCAACACCTAGAACAGTGCTGGCACGTAATAAACATCAGGTGAATGGATGGGCAGGCAAGACAGCAAGAGCCACCCCATGCCATGGACCCTGAGATGTGGCCAGAAGGGTCAGAGACGGCACCTTCTTCTTGCTGCAGTAGATCTGCCATTTCTTCTCAGGGGGCAGTGCAAACATAGCCTCCCGGTTTTTGTCAGTGAGATCCAATTCATCCTGCAAAGACAAGAAAAAAAAATATGTCTGATACTAGGGATGGTTAAGATTAGAATAGTCAGTCCTGCAGGAAATTAGAATTCCCCCAGATCAGGTCCTCAGCCTACTATCTTCCTCCCGAAGAGCATCAAAGATATGATAGGGCATTTCTTCTTCTGTGAGAAATACGGCCCCATCCCCTTGCCTCAACCAGCCCTGTGTGTCTTCCATTGCACTCCCTTTACTTCCTGTCCACCCCCAACCTTGTCTCTGCAAATCCACCCTCCTGCTTCAGGTCACCCTGTTCCCTGCGCGTCTCCTGCATTGCTTTGCTAGCTCCTGATCCTCTCGCCCCACGGTTTCTTGTCTTCCATCCCTTGTGATTCTTAAGCTTGTGGACACACCATAATACAAAGCCTAACAAAGAAGGGAGTTGTCTGCAGATCTAGTTCTGCCTCTCTCCAATTCTCGTCCCATCCTTCAGGTCTACCTGCCCTGCAAATCTCTCCCCTAGACATTCTCTGGCTCCCCCAAACTCAGCATGGGCCCTAGCACGGGCTGGAGAGAGCTGGTGAGGACAAGGGGCTAATCAGAGTAGGATGGGCGAGCCATGCCCAGGGAGGCATTGATCTGCTTCCGAGGGAGGGAGTGCCTGCTGGAGGCAGCCCCTCCCACTGCAGGACCACCAAGAGAAGGCGCCGGGCTCCATCAGGCTAGTCCAAACTTTCCAAGGAGCAAACTGGAACTTTATGAGGTCATATTTGGGGTAATTCCTAGGTATTTTGGGGTGAATTTAAAGGTTTTGCTGTGCTAGGCGGCCCCTGAAAATCTTTTGAAGCTGCTTCTCCTATCATGCATGAGCAATACCTAATGCTAATCAAGGGCTAATCAAAGGACTAGTTATTGAGCCATGGAGAACATTGTGTGCTTTTTTAAAAATCAAAAGCAAAAATTGCATTAAGCATAAATTAAGCATAACAAAGCATAATAGTACTAACCTTTATATTTTCAAATACAATAAACAGTGAAAACAATATCTAAAGAAGTATAATAGTCTTAAATTTTGATATCTGTAATCTTTTCCCTATACTTTTATTCAAGGGAGAATATTAAGACTTTCTTCTCTCACCTAGATCAGAACTGCCTAATAGAAAGATAACAGGGGTCACATATATTTTCAAATTTTTCTAGTCACGTTAAAAACTTTAAAAGAAATAGGTGAAGTCAATAGTACATTTTATTGAAACCAGTAAATCTAAAATATAATCATTTAAACATATAATCATGTAGAAAATTAATAATGAGATATTTTACATTCCTTTTTTCACACTAAGTCTTCAAAATCTGGTGTGCATTTTACAGTTACAGTTCATCTCAATTCAGATGAGCCAGTAGCCCCATCTGGCCAAGGACTGCCATTCAGACAGCACAGACAAGGGATATTTGAAATAATACCCATTAGTTCACCTGCCTCTGGAACTCAAGACTCCTGCAGATTTAATCCCATACAAAAGTTCTTCCCTAGAACTGCTCTCTAGGTATCCCAGGAAGTTCTTTGTCAAAATTCCCAGAATGCTGTTTGAGGTTTCTTTTCCACGATCAAAATCAGAAATAAAAGAAAAAGGAGAGTTATATGCACCTTACATTTCCCAACACAAACTCGGCACCCCTTCAACCTCTGTGCCTTTGCTTACACAGTGAGTCCTGCCTGGACAGGCCTCCGTACCCACTCACACTAAGGACCTGGTCTAATTCCTAGGGCACAGTGTCAGCCTCCTCCCGCAAGCCTTCAGTAGACCTTCCCAGGTAAGAAGAATCTCTCCCTTCCTGAACTACAGAGCAGTTCCACATGAGCTTGTATTCAGGTTATTGATGTACTTGTCTTTTCCAGCCAGTGGTCTCTATCTCTAAATCAATGGTAGTTTTGCTCAGCCCAGGCAGCATATAACTGCTGACTGCTTGCTTCTTATTAAAGCTCACTTCCCTGGTTTCTTTAGCAACTACCCTCCTGAGCAGTCTCTCCTGTTTCACCCTATGTTCTGCGTGGGCTTCCTTGATGACTTCTCCTCTTCTATCCTACCTTTAAACGAAGTCCCTCAGGGCACCGTCCTCCCTCACCTGTTCCCCAGGACTCAGCTATTATCTCAGACTCTCTCAAACTCGTACCCCTAGGCCAACAGTTTCCTGAACTCCAGACCCTGGGGCCCAATTGTCTCCAGTATGTCTCCACTCTGATGTACTTACGTAGAGCTACTATGTCCCAGGCACTGTTCTAAGTGTGTAATGTTTATTCATTTGTTTATAACTTATAACAACTCGTTTTACAGATAAGGAAACTGATGTACAGAAAGAATGTGTGAATTGAATTCATCATCCCAGCCCCCTAAACTTGAATCTCCTCCAGCATATCCTATCCTGTCCAGGGTCCCAACATCCATCCAACACTTCATGTCAGAAACTGGGGTGTTCTTTGATTCCTACTCACTCTTTGATCCTACTAAGTCCTATTATCTTTCCTCCTAAATAGCTCTTGAATCTGTCCACTTCTCTCCATCCTCACTGCTAATACTTTAGTCTAAGGCACCCTTCTCTCTAACCTGTAGGATTAGGAGGCAAAAGCCTCCAAATGGTCAACCCAGAACCCTTCTTTAGCAGAGCACCTTGCATGGTCTTTTAGAAAAGTGATCAGATCACCTCAAATCCCTGCTTAAAATCTTCCATGACTTTCCACTGCCCTTAGGGTTTAATCCAAAAACTTTAGTTCTTCTGGTCTTCATTGCGTACCCCAAAAGGACCCAGCTTCTGACTTGACACTCATATATACCATTTCTTCTGCAGTCATTGTCCTGAACCTCATTCACTTATCATCTCGGTGAAAATGTCACTGCTTACAGGGGCCATTGTGACTTCTCCCAGTCTAGAATACAGCTTCCTGCTAGGCACTCCCATGCCCCCACCCCCCGAATGCTCCCTGTCCTAGCACTCATCACACTTGTCTCTGCTCCTCAAGATCAGTCTTCCCTACTAGGTTTTCACATTCTTGGAGGCAGGGGAGGTCTCTGGTGGCTCATCACTACATCCCTAGGACCCCCATACAGCCTAGCACCCAGCAGTCTCTCCAAGAAATATTATTCACTTGTTTGAGAGATACCTGATGCTATTCTTCTTGCAGGCAAGACTTGTCTGACTCACCCTTGTTTTTGCTAAAGTGCCATGCAAGGGTCCCTGTCCTGAAGATGCCCAGTAAATATCTGTTGAATAAAAGAGCCAAAGAAAGGAACACTGCCCATCACGTCCTTCTTTCAAAACTCACTCTACTCAAGAAAACATCCCTGACTAACACAGATCAGGCTCCAGATATTATTCCACACTAGCAAACACTTTGTCCCCCACCACTTGCCCCATCCAGAGGAAAGCTAAAAATCGGGAAACAGTGAGTTTTCCTAAACCTGATGTGACAAGGAAGCTGGACAACTTTTTCATATAACCTGCATAATCTCATCTTACAGGGACCCTGTCATTGAAAGAGCTGGATTGGTTTAACCAGGTATATTTATTAGCAAATACAAGTATAAAACTACATTCCAACCACATGGCATTCTTTCTTTTTTTTTTTTTTTTTTTGAGACGGAGTCTCGCTCTGTCGCCCAGGCTGGAGTGCAGTGGCCGGATCTCAGCTCACTGCAAGCTCCGCCTCCCAGGTTCACACCATTCTCCTGCCTCAGCCTCCCGAGCAGCTGGGACTACAGGCGCCCGCCACCTCGCCCGGCTAGTTTTTTTTTTTTTTTTTGTATTTTTTAGTAGAGATGGGGTTTCACCAGGTTAGCCAGGATGGTCTCGATCTCCTGACCTCGTGATCCGCCCGCCTTGGCCTCCCAAAGTGCTGGGATTACAGGCTTGAGCCACCGCGCCTGGCCGGCATTCTTTCTTTACTGGCTTACTAATGGCCCACCACAGAATGAGTGACCAAGAGCTAATGGTAGATGAACTTGTACTTATGGCTCTTTACCAGGTCTGGGACATCCTGTGGTGTGCAGACTTTGTCTCACCACCTCCAAAGAAAGAAGAAATCATGCTTCTTTCCTAGTCTATTTGTGGCCATGGTATAAAGCTGCACACACAGGGGCTTCTCACAAGGGCAGTCTGAAGGCTGGCCTGGGCAGGCACTGCAGAGTCAGCACAGGCTGGTCCTGGTGTGAATGGCAGAGCTTCCACCTGCCCCTTGTTAGGCACAGCATATAATCATCCCAGGCCTGAACTGGGACCCCGTGCATGACATAGACATTTCCACCTCCATGTTCCTAGCCAATCATCCCCTGTTCCGAGGTGCCCAGTGTCTGCCCACAGAATCCCACTATGTCTCTTCTTTGTGTCTTGGACATTAAAAGATCCCAGGGAAACTCCAAGGATCAGAAGAGAGAAAGGCGCCAAATGTTCTGATGTTCTTTGAGATGTCTCACCATCTTAGTTTGCAAAGCCCAGAGCTGCCCCTTCCTATGATAACCTAACTACTGCACCCTGTGGTCTACAATCCAATGCAGAGAGGAGGTAGGACCATTCTTCTGGGCCACACTTTATGCTGTCCATCCCAGCGAGAGATTCTGGTTCCCCAACATAGCTGAAGTGTCCTGGGGGCCTACCTCCTCCCAAGAGGACTTTTGAGAGATGGAGACCCCAGGACAGGTGCCCTGCCCTCTGTCCAGTTCTGCTTGTCCATCCACCCTCCTCTCCATTGTCACTGTCCCTCCCCACCCTCTCACTGACCACCAGCTCTGCAAAGCGGATGTTGAGCTCCTCTGCGTTTGGGATGGGGCTGGAGAACTCCATGAACTGCAGAGGGTGGTTGTCCCGGAGGTTGATTTCGGGGATGTCACTGCCCCCGAAGCAGCACAGGAAGCCCAGGCCATGGCGGCTCCTCTTCCGGGGGGCCATGGTCACTGCAGGCCAGGGGGTGTCAGCAGGCAGATGCCCTAGGTCCTCATTGTGATCTGGACAGGAGGAGACAACACAGGGTAGTCAGGCATCAGTCAGATAGGCTGAGCAGAGGTCACTCTGCCTTCATAACCTCTGTCCCACAGGCTACCGGGAGCCCTCAACTCAATAGCAAAGCCCCTCCGCCCTTCCTCCCACAGCATCCCTCTGTTCCCTCCAGCTCTTTCCACCTGGAGGTATTTACGTATCCTCCCCACCATGCCCTCTGAGTGTTACCTGCCAAGACACTTTCACATTCCCCTTCCTTGCCCTCAGAGAAGGACAAAGGCTGGGGTCACTGAATGTGACTTCCATGTGGCCAGAGCTGACTTTCCATGAATGTGTAGACGGGATCCTACTCCCTGTCTTAAGATCAGCTTCCAGCAAGGCTCATTTACTCACTTGATTCATTTCCAGGCCTGGGGATAACTGATTTAAAGGCATGGTCCCATGCGGAGGAAAGGGTTGAAGAAGGCTGGCAGAGGGAACAGTGAGCTAATGATGTGGCATAGCTTCTAGAGCCTGGGTCTCCAGAGGAGGAGAGGACGGAAGGCTACAGAGGCTTGTAGAGTTTTCTGCTCAGTCTTCTGTACCCTGGCATGTTTGGATGAATGTGAAATAGCAGTAGGCAGTGGTTCACTGATCCTTCTAGAAGGAGGTGGCCAGTTGTCCTCAGAGAGTTACCCAGGGGAGTCAGAGTGAAGCCTGGGTACAGAAATAGGACTGATCATTGGAATGGTATTTGACATCTGCTCAGATTTTCGGAAGAAATCTGCTCAGATTTTCTTTTTCATACCAACCAAGAAGAGAGGACACTGTTCTGTCCAGAGACCAGAACTGATGGACATTTAACAGCTGAGTAGTCATTGGAACAGAAAGGGTTAAGTCTTTGGCTCGCCCCTAGGAAAGCCTAGGTCAATGAAGACCAGCTTGAGAAAGAACACTACCCCTGTCATTGATGCCACATGGCCTCTAGATCAATTCAATCCAACAACCAGGACACAGGCCTCCTAAGAGGCAGAACCATCCTCAACCACTGGTTCCTGACAACCTAGGGGGGTTCAGTAGAGAGGCCAAAGCTTATGCACCAAACTGCTACCCAGTCGGATTCTCCCCAGCCCATACTCACAGATCTTAATTTTTTTGGACATAAATATGGAATTCTGTTTTTATCCCTGTTGAATATCATTGGTTTGCAGTCAAGATACTTTAGAATTTTGATTCTTAGCTATTTCTCCTGGACTCAGATTATTAACAGATTAGAATGCCTCTGTAGTCATCACGCACATCATTGCTAAAAATGTTGACCACATCAAAGACACAGACCCTAATGACACAACAAGCTGATCTAGGAATGCCAGGGAACTTTCATTAATACGCTCAGGGGACAGTCTTTCAACCAGCTCTAAATCTATATAACTATGCTCTCATCTAGCCCTCTTTTCTATAAAGTCAACATGAGAGATTTCTCCTAAAGCCCTGTAGAACTCAAGATATGCTAAATCTATGACACTCCTTTGAACCAAGCTCTAGAATCTTATCAAAAGAGAGAACAAGATAAATGTGGCATAATTTGTTCCTAGGGAACTCAGGGTAACTTCTAGAGAACACTGCTTTATTTCTTAAGTCCTAGCTAATAATTTAGTATAATCTAATCTGGCCTCTCACACATCATGCCCTATTTTAACTGTCATTCTAGAATTTTTTTACCAGCTCTATTTTATCTTTCTTTATAAAGTTTGTGACAGGCTTTTTAATAGGCCCAGAAAAGCCTCAAATAATACATTATGGAAGATTGCCCTTGTGTTATTGGTTATCTTTTTGCTACTGGCTCTCATAAATATAGTGAGGGCTCCTAGAGGGCAGGGACTGTGTCTCCTGCTTCTTTGACAGCCATCCCCATTTCTGTAGCCAATAAAAGCCTTGTGCTTCGTGGGGAGTCAATAAATATTTCTTGACCAATTGGAAAATGACCTGTTCTCATGGAAAAGGAGGAAAGAGGGGTCCTTATTAATCAGTCAAAAAATATTGATGGAAATCTCAACTACTAGCAATTGATAAGCACTCAAAAACGTTTGTAAGGAAAAATAGAACCGTCCTAGAGGCTGAGGGAGGAGAAGCAGCCAGCAGGCCAGCACAGCAATCCATGGACATGGTGGCAAAGACCTGGAGTAGACTAGCGTTAGAGTAAAACAGAGAGGAAGGGGGACTTTGGGGTTCCCCTGGGATTTGATAGCCAATGGCAAAGAGTGGGTAAGACAAAGCCCTGGTCTCTGACCATTAGGGTTAGTAAAGCACTAACTCTGCAGGCAGGTAGGGGTGGAATCCCTGTGGGTGCCCTGCCCATTGTCAAGTGTGGGATAATCACATGGAATGCAGACCAGATCCCCGTGATTCCATCAGCCTCCAAAATGCAGCTGCAGCTGGCAAGCAAGACTGCTTTGTTCGGGGCACAAGGCATGGGAAGGGAGCTCCGAGAGGTGGTGGGGAGGCTGGGCTGACAGCACCACGGGGTTCTAGGGAGGGACAAAGAGCTGTCTCTTATACACATCTAGATGTGTATAAGAGACAGGAGCAGAGGTCACTCTGCCTTCATAACCTCTGTCCCACAGGCTACCGGGAGCCCTCAACTCAATAGCAAAGCCCCTCCGCCCTTCCTCCCACAGCATCCCTCTGTTCCCTCCAGCTCTTTCCACCTGGAGGTATTTACGTATCCTCCCCACCATGCCCTCTGAGTGTTACCTGCCAAGACACTTTCACATTCCCCTTCCTTGCCCTCAGAGAAGGACAAAGGCTGGGGTCACTGAATGTGACTTCCATGTGGCCAGAGCTGACTTTCCATGCATGTGTAGACGGGATCCTACTCCCTGTCTTAAGATCAGCTTCCAGCAAGGCTCATTTACTCACTTGATTCATTTCCAGGCCTGGGGATAACTGATTTAAAGGCATGGTCCCATGCGGAGGAAAGGGTTGAAGAAGGCTGGCAGAGGGAACAGTGAGCTAATGATGTGGCATAGCTTCTAGAGCCTGGGTCTCCAGAGGAGGAGAGGACGGAAGGCTACAGAGGCTTGTAGAGTTTTCTGCTCAGTCTTCTGTACCCTGGCATGTTTGGATGAATGTGAAATAGCAGTAGGCAGTGGTTCACTGATCCTTCTAGAAGGAGGTGGCCAGTTGTCCTCAGAGAGTTACCCAGGGGAGTCAGAGTGAAGCCTGGGTACAGAAATAGGACTGATCATTGGAATGGTATTTGACATCTGCTCAGATTTTCGGAAGAAATCTGCTCAGATTTTCTTTTTCATACCAACCAAGAAGAGAGGACACTGTTCTGTCCAGAGACCAGAACTGATGGACATTTAACAGCTGAGTAGTCATTGGAACAGAAAGGGTTAAGTCTTTGGCTCGCCCCTAGGAAAGCCTAGGTCAATGAAGACCAGCTTGAGAAAGAACACTACCCCTGTCATTGATGCCACATGGCCTCTAGATCAATTCAATCCAACAACCAGGACACAGGCCTCCTAAGAGGCAGAACCATCCTCAACCACTGGTTCCTGACAACCTAGGGGGGTTCAGTAGAGAGGCCAAAGCTTATGCACCAAACTGCTACCCAGTCGGATTCTCCCCAGCCCATACTCACAGATCTTAATTTTTTTGGACATAAATATGGAATTCTGTTTTTATCCCTGTTGAATATCATTGGTTTGCAGTCAAGATACTTTAGAATTTTGATTCTTAGCTATTTCTCCTGGACTCAGATTATTAACAGATTAGAATGCCTCTGTAGTCATCACGCACATCATTGCTAAAAATGTTGACCACATCAAAGACACAGACCCTAATGACACAACAAGCTGATCTAGGAATGCCAGGGAACTTTCATTAATACGCTCAGGGGACAGTCTTTCAACCAGCTCTAAATCTATATAACTATGCTCTCATCTAGCCCTCTTTTCTATAAAGTCAACATGAGAGATTTCTCCTAAAGCCCTGTAGAACTCAAGATATGCTAAATCTATGACACTCCTTTGAACCAAGCTCTAGAATCTTATCAAAAGAGAGAACAAGATAAATGTGGCATAATTTGTTCCTAGGGAACTCAGGGTAACTTCTAGAGAACACTGCTTTATTTCTTAAGTCCTAGCTAATAATTTAGTATAATCTAATCTGGCCTCTCACACATCATGCCCTATTTTAACTGTCATTCTAGAATTTTTTTACCAGCTCTATTTTATCTTTCTTTATAAAGTTTGTGACAGGCTTTTTAATAGGCCCAGAAAAGCCTCAAATAATACATTATGGAAGATTGCCCTTGTGTTATTGGTTATCTTTTTGCTACTGGCTCTCATAAATATAGTGAGGGCTCCTAGAGGGCAGGGACTGTGTCTCCTGCTTCTTTGACAGCCATCCCCATTTCTGTAGCCAATAAAAGCCTTGTGCTTCGTGGGGAGTCAATAAATATTTCTTGACCAATTGGAAAATGACCTGTTCTCATGGAAAAGGAGGAAAGAGGGGTCCTTATTAATCAGTCAAAAAATATTGATGGAAATCTCAACTACTAGCAATTGATAAGCACTCAAAAACGTTTGTAAGGAAAAATAGAACCGTCCTAGAGGCTGAGGGAGGAGAAGCAGCCAGCAGGCCAGCACAGCAATCCATGGACATGGTGGCAAAGACCTGGAGTAGACTAGCGTTAGAGGAAAACAGAGAGGAAGGGGGACTTTGGGGTTCCCCTGGGATTTGATAGCCAATGGCAAAGAGTGGGTAAGACAAAGCCCTGGTCTCTGACCATTAGGGTTAGTAAAGCACTAACTCTGCAGGCAGGTAGGGGTGGAATCCCTGTGGGTGCCCTGCCCATTGTCAAGTGTGGGATAATCACATGGAATGCAGACCAGATCCCCGTGATTCCATCAGCCTCCAAAATGCAGCTGCAGCTGGCAAGCAAGACTGCTTTGTTCGGGGCACAAGGCATGGGAAGGGAGCTCCGAGAGGTGGTGGGGAGGCTGGGCTGACAGCACCACGG